GCGGTTAGGTGGCGTCGGTGTCAGAGGGTATTTTAGAAAGTTGAGATGAGGTTGCCCCATAGTTGTTTGTATTCATCTGTAATTGAGAAGCCCATCCAATAAAACCTAGTGGTCTGATACTTGGAGTTTGTACCCTTAAGGGAGCTGGTCAAGTACTCCATCAGTTTGTCTTCAACACAGGGAAGCCATTGCCGTAGACTTCCACAGTGCTGTGATACAGATTGTCCTGCATTGACCAGGTGGATATAACCAAATTTTATAGGCTTTCATGAGGACTGTGTTTTAGTGCAGATGGCAAAATGGTCTTTTGGTAGAGGAAGGTCTATAAAAATTTCAACAATTATGTGTATCTGTGTGGAAAAAGTCTGCAAGGCAGGGTAGTACCAGAAGATATGGAGCATGTCACCCGGTTCCAGGCTGCATCTCCAGCAAGATTCGGACACCAAGGGGTAAATGGAGCTCAGTACGGAACGGGTGCCGTACAGCAGTCACAATTTTGTACCCAGATTTCTGGTATTTATTACTGATAGAGGACTGGTAGGAAGTCATAAATATTTTTGATCTGGTGAGGGAGAAGTTTGGAGGTCCTGTTCTCAGTGATCTAAGAAGGGGAGAGGGGTTTGAAATGTCTCTAAGAGAAGCATTTTGTAGGTAAGGGTTGGTGCATGTTGTACTTGACCAGCGATTTAATATTCCTGCTCAAACTGAAGCACAGGATGTTGAAAAAGATGGGCAATTGGTAGGGACAACTGAAAGTCCCGGGGAAAGTGGCAGAGGTATACAGTCAGGATCTTGTAACGTGTTCATATGTTCAGCCATCCAAGCCAAGTTCCTAGAGTTTTTTGAGGTGCCCATAATTTGTTTTCCTTCACATAGACGGCAAAAAATAAATTTTGGGGTTTCCTAACACAAGAAATAAGGGGGAAAAGAATATTCTGAGATACTATAGGCAGTGAATGCGTGACTGGCAGATACACCAGGTTGGTGCTATGGTTGGATGTTGGTGTGATGGTCCAGGGATGGAAGCTCAGAGCACCACAGTAGTTCGTTCAGCAGGGAGGGGGAAATCACTTGTTCCCTCACTATCCATTGCTTTGCTGTGATTTTCCTGTCCCGGTTGAGTGCTCTCATCAGAGAGGCAATTCGATAGAGCCTAATATCATGCAGTGACATTCCGCTGAAATGTTTCCATCTGAGGAATATGTAATGTTTGATACGGGCAGATCTGAAGGTCCATACTGTAAAAGATAGATTGAGTAGACATGGAGTATGATGGGGTATGTGGACTGGGATAGTCCAAAGGAGATACAGAATACGGGGTAATATGGTTTGTTTGTGTATATTGCATCTCCCCATCAATTGAAAAACTTTGGTTTGCCCACAACAATAGTTTGTTTCTAAAATCGGCAAGATAAGGAGTAAAGTTAAGGGTGAAGAGTTTTAGAAGACCATTCAGTAGTAGGAATCCCAAGTGTGAGAGGATACCCATTTATAAGCACTTTTTTTTTTAGGCTTGGGCATTTTTCCTTCCACTGACACCAGCAATGGGGCATAAATACTCCTACTGATATAAACAATGGAACAGTATTTCTTCCATAAAAACCAATGACATCCAACAGCAGGGCACTATACCTCTCAATGACACCCAACAACAGGGCACTAGTCCTCCCAATGACATCTAACAATGGGGCAATATTCCTCCCAATGAAACCCAACAACGGGGCACTATTCCTCCCTATGACACCCAACAACAGGGCAGTATTCCTTCCAATGACATCTAACAATGGGGCTCTATTCCTCCCAATGACAATCAACAACAGGGCAGTATTCCTCCCAATGAAACCCAAGAAAGAGGCACTATACCTCCCAATAACATCCAGCCATGGGGCACTATTCCTCCCAATGACAACTAACAACAGGGCAGTATTCCTTCCAATGACACCCAACAACGGGGCACTATTCCTCCCAATGACAATCAACAACAGGGCAGTATTCCTTCCAATGACACCCAACAACGGGGCACTATTCCCCCCAATGACACACAACAATGGGGCAATATTCTCCCAATGACACCCAACAACAGGGCAGTATTCCCCCCAATGGTACCCAACAACGGGGCAGTATTCCCCCCAATGACATCCAACAACGGGGCAGTATTCCCCCCAATGACATCCAACAACGGGGCAGTATTCCCCCCAATGACACCCAACAATAGGGCAGTATTCCCCCCAATGACACCCATTAACAGGGCAGTATTCCCCCCAATGACACCCAACAATGGGGCACTATTCCCCCAACGACACCCAACAATGGGGCACTATTTCCCCAATGACACCCAACAATGGGGCACTATTCCCCCAATGACACCCAACAATGGGGCACTATTTCCTCCAATGACACCCAACAACAGGGGCTCTATTCCTCCCAATGACACCCAACAACAGAGACTCTATTCCTCCCAATGACACCCAACAACAGGCGATCTATTCCTCCCATTAACACCAATTATGGGTTACCACTACCCCTCCTATTGACCACAGATGCTGTTTTTTACTCCCACTGACCACAAAGCCTGAAGCATTGTTTACTCCCCTTGATGCTGGGGCATTTTCTGCTGCATTTGGCCACAGTCAACCCTCCTAAAGTCTGAAAGACTGTTAACTGTCCTTTGTTTAGAACAGCCTTTTTCAACCTTTTTACCTCAGAAAAACTCTTGAAATAATTTTCAGGTTTCAGGGAACCCCTAGTGAGATTAATCTATTGGGGGTCATTGGTAAAATCCCTCGTACAGTGGTTGTAGTATATAGGAAGAATGCCCCCCTACAGGGGTGGCTATTTTGATACCCTTGCAGTATTGCCACTGGCTCTGCCAAGTGGAGCTGGACCTTGGGACTAATCAGGCACCATCAGATGGGAGGTCAGTTAGCCACAGTTCAAGGAACCCCTAGCCACCCCTGGAGGAACCCTAGGGATCCACAGAACCCTGGTTGAGAATGGCTGGTTTAGAAGGTTTGGAGATCCCTGGTTTAGGGTAACAGACAAGACATCCCGTAGAATGCCTCCCACTTCCCTAAAAGTTAGTGTCCAGTTCTACGTTGATAGCAGAAAGGTCACCAACCCAACTCTCAGATCCCAGTGGGCCCAGTCACACAAACAGTGCATTTGGCACCGACTGTCTTACAAAAAACCACTTGGAGGCTAAAACCAGCTGAGTCTTTTTGATCAACAAAGACTGCTCTCCTATAGAGCACTCTTGGTACACAAAGTGCCATGCAGCATTGTCCCAGCTGCAGTGTTGGGCGTTCGCCATGCTCATTGTGATGCCACCTGAATAAGAGGAACATTTGGCCAAGAGATGAAAGATGGAATCCTTCTCTAAGCTGAAACAAAAAAAAAAAACCCCAGCAAGGGACGATCCCGCCAGCAGAACCAGCCCCGTCCTTTCAGTATAATCCACTGACAATGGACAAGCCTGCCCTGTTCCACCGAGCATGGAAAGCCTTCAAAGATCTGTTTCATTTCCTGCGTGGAACTTACATCTCTCCGAGTGGTTCCATCCATATGCGCTTAATCGCACTTCAGCAGGAGCAGTTTGTGGAGGTCCAGAGAAGAGGATTATTGTTCTGTTAGGGGCCCCTGAAGCCACAATGACAGCTGAAAAAAAAAACGATACGTGTTAGTTTTTAAAAATTCTCAAAAATAATTTTTTTTAAAAGTTTTTTACAAATTATATTTTCAAAGGCTAAGTCCCCAAAAAAGACTACTGAAAGCGGAGATGATAGCATAACAGCCAAGCAACTGCCATTTTCAGGAACACAGAAATCTACTTAACAGGGTTTGGAGTTGGGTATATTTTGGGTTTATTATAGCTATTTATAAAGTGCCGACAATTTATATAGCAGTTTATGTATTGTACATTCACATTAGTCCCCCAAGGAGCTCACAATCTAAGGTCCCTGTCTCACATATACTGTACATGCACATAGTAGGGCCAATTTGTAGACAAGAGTCAATGACCCCAACCATTATTTCATGGTGGTCTTTATTTCACTTTTTTCTTTCTTTCTTTCTTTCTTTCTTTTCTCTCTTTTTCTTTCTTTCTTTCTTTCTCTCTCTCTCTTTCTTTCTTTCTTTCTTTCTTTTCTCTCTTTCTTTCTTTCTTTCTTTCTTTCTTTCTCTCTCTCTCTCTTTCTTTCTTTTCTTTCTTTCTTTCTTTCTTTCTTTCTCTCTCTCTCTCTCTCTCTCTCTCTCTCTCTCTTCTTTCTCTCTCTCTTTCTTTCTTTCTTTCTTTCTTTCTTTCTTTAAAAATATAAAAATTTAGGCAAAAGAATGGTGGGTTTTGGCACAAGAACAGGTCCAGGATGGTTAAAAGCAGCTTCTGTAGCCATCGGGTGCCATTTAATGCCACCATCGTGTTTATTTTACTAAACTTTTTTTTTTTTTTATATATATATATCAAAAGAGAAAACGCCAGCTGTAATATTTTAAAATGTATCAGTCATTGGTATAATGAAGTCAAACACTTAATATCAATCCTTCCAGATAGATACTACAAGCAAAATTCTTAAAAAATCAATACGATTATGAAAATACAGTAAATACAAATTATTTCAATTGTTAAACCACCTGTGCCTACTACAGCAGATGATAAAGGTTATGTTATCATCCCAATTAATTGCTTACCAAAATATATTTAAAGGGAAAACTGCAATTCACAATATGATAAAAATATATTTTTATTAAAAAATGTCAGGAAATGTCACGGATGGACTTATTGCCCAGGTGGCCACCTATCACGGGACCACGCTTGGAGTCACTGAGCTCCTGAGAGCGACCCATTCTTTCACCAATGTTTGTAGAAGCCGTCTGCATGCCTAGGGGCTTGATTGTATACACCTGTGTCCATGAAGGGGATTGGAGCACCTGAATCACATGATATGGAGGGGATTGGAACACCTGAATCACATGATATGGAGGGGATTGGAACACCTGAATCACATGATTGGGAGGGGACTGGAACACCTGAATCACATGATTTGGAGGGGATTGGAACACCTGAATCACATGATTGGAGGGGATTGGAACACCTGAATCACATGATATGGAGGGGATTGGAACAACTGAATCACATGATATGGAGGGGATTGGAACACCGGAATCACATGATATGGAGGGGATTGGAACACCTGAATCACATGATATGGAGGGGATTGGAACACCTGAATCACATGATTGGGAGGGGATTGGAACACCTGAATCACATGATTGGAGGGGATTGGAACACCGGAATCACATGATATGGAGGGGATTGGAACACCTGAATCACATGATATGGAGGGGATTGGAACACCTGGATCACATGATATGGAGGGGATTGGAACACCTGAATCACATGATTTGGAGGGGATTGGGACACCTGCATCACATGATTGGGATCTTTTAGATTGTAAGCTCCCAGGATCAGGCCCTCCTAACCCTTTTGTATTGATCTGTAACTATTGGCGCCATATAAATCCTGTATAATAATAATTTGGAGGGTGGACCAACTCAAGATTGAACCCTACGGACTGAGACTGGAATGCCATTAGCGTTGATGTGCGTGTGAAGGCCGGCGGATCGATACTTTTGACATTATAGTGTATTTTGATACATTGAATGAGTCGATAATTGACGCAGAGCTACGTTATAAAAAGACACAAAGGGGCTGATTTGCTAAAACTAGAGAGTGTGAAATCTGGTGCAGCCGCGCACGGCAGCCAATCAGCTTCTGACTTCAGCTTGTTCCATGAAGCTTTGACAATAAAACAAGCCGATTGGTTCCAGTGCTGCACCAGATTTTGCACGCTCCACTTTTAGTAAAGTGTCACTTTCTAAACTTTTATAAAGCGGAACATCAACAGACTATCTTCCCGGCTCCTCTGGGCTCCCGCACACGGCGCCCTATCTCTGCCTTATTACCCTGTGCTGGCGTGCTGCGCCGGCGCTCATTCTGGAGTTCTGGTGACGGTCGGCGAGACGTCGCGGTTGGCAGATGAAAATAACCGAGATATGGAAAATAACTAGCAGAGATCATTCAGGAATGTAGAAATAAGAACACCAAGTGACAGGAGACGTATTCTGATTTATTAAAAAATCCCGGTGGGGTGGCGTTCCCGGGGCAACGCGTCGGGGGGTCACCAGGCCATCCACTGATCTCCGTATGTGGTGCAGAAATGCCGGTTTCCTGCGCCGTCTCATTAGACGAAATTGCTTTTTGGAGCTTGAGCTGGCTTATATGTTTGAACTGTACCTGTGTCACCGGGATTAGCGCGTTATCGGTGATAAACAGCGCCGACTTATCATAGGTCGTCCTCCGTGAACCTCGGGGGGGGGGGGGGGTCAGTAGGCAAAGGACGACTCTGCTCTGCGCTGCAGCTCAGGCAGGAGCAGGGGCGGACTGACCATTTGGAAACTCGGGCACTGCCTGAGGGCCCGGGGTCAGTAGGGGGCCCCATGAGATTCCCCTGGTACCTTTTTCATAGGCTTTTTTGAGTTTGGGCAAGGACACAGGGGCCCCATGATCCCCTATTGCCCGGGGCCCCATGAGTTGTCAGTCTGCCCCTGGGCAGGAGCCCCTGTGCATCCTAATATAAGGCGTGCACCTCTGTGACCTGCTAGCGACACATGCACATTGCATCATGGGAAATCAAAGACAAGCCTGATCTTCCAAGATATGAAATAGGATTTTACTCTTCTGTTACATTTAGAAGAAAAATAATCTACTTTTTATTGCCGGCCTTTCCTTCTAATCTTATAGGCCTGTGTGAGAAGCCTCAAGTGGAAGCTGCACTTCCCATCTATGGTCGCATCGCTTCCTGGGGCAGGGAGCCGAGAGCAGGAGCTTCCGTTGGAAGTTTCTCACAAAGGTTTTTTTATGCCAAGCTTCTTGTTAGTCGGCTTCCACCCTTAGCAAAAATAAATATATAAATGCAGGCATTGCAAATGGAAGGTGTGCAATGTTCTGTCTCCTGCAGGCTATTCCGCCATCCCCCTGGGTTCAGGCCTTTAGTTACGGAGCTGGAGGAAATATTAATGGAATGCATGTATGGTGGCTTCCTTGTGTTTGTGCATCACGCTTGAGATCTAAGAGTCCCTGTGCGGCGGTGGCAGATGGGACTTGTAGTCTCTGCATTCACAGATCTGTGGGAGCCACAGGGAACTCCCCATGAGTACAATGCTTTGGCTCCTGCAGACTATTCCTCCAGAACCCAGTACAGACCTTCAGTTACGGAGCTGGAGGAAATATTAATGGAGTACAAGCGTGGTGACGTCATCACGCTTGTGCTCCATTGAGATCTATGAGTCTCTGTGCTGCGGTGACAGATGGGACTTATAGTCTCTCCATTCACAGATCTATGGGAGCCACAGGGCACTCCAGGGGGAAAATGCCCATGAGTACAATGCTCTGGCTCCTGCAGGCTATTCCACCATCCCCTGGGTACAGGCCTTCAGTTACGGAGCTGGAGGAAATATCAATGGAGTACAAGTGTGGTGACGTCATCACGCTTGTGCTCCATTGAGATCTAGGAGTCTCTGTGCTGCGGTGACACATGGGACTTATAGTCTCTCCATTCACAGATCTATGGGAGCCACAGGGCACTCCAGGGGGCAAATGCCCATGAGTACAATGCTCTGGCTCCTGCAGACTATTCCTACAACCCCCAGTATGGACCTTCAGTTGCTGAGCTGGAGGAAATGTCAATGGAATACAAGTGTGGTGATGTCATTACACTTGTGCTCTGCTGATGTCTGCATGTCCCTCTGTCATGATGGCATATTGAACTTGTCTCTCTATTGGTAAATCTATGGGAACCACCATGGGGTGGTTAAGGGAGAAAATCCCCATGGGTGCAATGCTCTGGCTCTTGCAGACTATTCCTCCTGGACCCGGTACAGACCTTCAGTTACAGAGCTGGAGGAAATGTCAATGGAGTACAAGGTGGAGGGGGAGCCAGAATTTGGTGAGTGAGGGGCCTGGAAGTGGATGGATAAGGGGCCCAGATGCAGGTGGGTGAGGGGCCCAGAGGTGAATGGAGGGGGCAGAATTTGGTGAGTGAGGGACCTGGAATTGGATGGGTGAAGGACCCAGAAGTGCGTAGTTGAGAGGCCCAGAATTGGATGGGTGTGTGACCCAGAAGCAGGTGGGTGAAGGGCCTGGATGTGGATGGGCAGAAGGCTCTAAAGTGGATGAGTGAGGGGCCTGGAAGTGGAGGAGGGCAGAATTTGGTGATTGAGTGATCCAGAAATGGATGGGTGAGGGGCATAGAAGTGGATGGGTGAAGGGCACAGAAGCAGGTGGATGAGGGGCCCAGAAGTGGATGGAGGAGGGCAGAATTTGGTGAGTGAGGGACCTGGAATTGGGTGAGTGAAGGACCCAGAAGTGCGTGATTGAGAGGCCCAGAACTGGATGGGTGAGGGACCCAGATGCAGGTGGGTGAAGGGCCCAGAGGTGGATGGGTGAAGAAACCAGAAATGCGTGGTTGAGAGGCCCAGAACTGGATGGATGAGGGACCCAGAATCAGGTGGGTGAAGGGCCAAGAGGTGAATGGGTGAAGAAACCAGAAATACATGGCTGAGAGGCCCAGAACTGGATGGGTGAGGGACCCAGACGCAGGTGGGTGAAGGGCCCGGAGGTGGATGGGTGAAGAAACCAGAAATGCGTGGTTGAGAGGCCCAGAACTGGATGGGTGAGGGACCCAGAATCAGGTGGGTGAAGGGCCAAGAGGTGGATGGGTGAAGAAACCAGAAATGCGTGGTTGAGAGGCCCAGAACTGGATGGGTGAGGGACCCAGAATCAGGTGGGTGAAGGGCCAAGAGGTGAATGGGTGAAGAAACCAGAAATACATGGTTGAGAGGCCCAGAACTGGATGGGTGAGGGACCCAGAAGCAGGTGGGTGAAAGGCCCGGAGGTGGATGGGTGAAGAAACCAGAAATGTGTGGTTGAGAAGCCCAGAACTGGATGGGTGAGGGACCCAGAAGCAGGTAGGTGAAGGGCCTGGAGGTGGATGGGTAAAGAACCTATAAATGTGTGGTTGAGCAGCCGAGAACTGGATGGGTGAGGGACCCATAAACAGGTGGGTGAAGGGCCCGGAGGTGGATGGGTAAAGAAACGAGAAATGCATGGTTGAGAGGCCCAGAACTGGATGGGTGAGGGACCCAGAAGCAGGTGCGTGAAGGTCCCGGAATTGATTGAGTGAGGGACCTAAGATCAGGGACCCAGAATTAGCCTTTCAGTACAGATTGCAGAGCCAGACCTGCCATACAACGAGGGGGGGGGAGATTTTCCTGGATGTTTACAATGTACAGCAACTTTATCTTTTGGTTACACATCACTGAATTCCGGGACGTCTGTTTGAACAGCTCACCGCACAGTTAACCCCCGATCGTCGCGGATCCGATTATCTGATCAGCGTGGGCCGTGTCACCGGCTCGGTTATTCTTCTGGCGGTCAAGCCATTGGAAAGAATCTTCAAATATCGCCGCCCCAGCCGGGTGTGACTTGTTTGGTTTCCATATCTGTCGGCCCGGATTGTGATACGCCGGCTGGCACCGCGTTTGGCATTTTCCTTCTGATAATGTAATCAATTCTTTTTCCCTTTTTGTGGTTAGAAGATCAGATAGGCCAACGTCGTATGAGTGGAGAGCGGAGACACAATGGCGGCGATTGCCCAATCTCATAATTCCAAGGGATCTAAAGGCAAAACTTTCCTTTTTTTTAAAGTTTTGATAGGGGCGAGGAAGGGTCAGAACCCCAGTCAGGTCTTTGCTGCCCATCCAGTTCTGGGTTGAGAGGCCCAGAACTGGATGGGTGAGGGACTCAGAAGCAGGTGGGTGAAGGGGCCGGAGTTGGATGGGTAAAGAAACCAGAAATGCATGGTTGAGAACCCAGAAGTGGATGGGTGAGGGACCCAAAAGCAGGTGGGTGAAGGGCCCGGAGGTGGATGGGTGAAGAAACCAGAAATGCATGGTTGAGAAACCAGAAGTGGATGGGTGAGGGACCCAAAAGCAGGTGGGTGAAGGGCCCGGAGGTGGATGGGTGAAGAAACCAGAAATGCATGGTTGAGAAACCAGAAGTGGATGGGTGAGGGACCCAAAAGCAGGTGGGTGAAGGGCCCGGAGGTGGATGGGTGAAGAAACCAGAAATGCATGGTTGAGAACCCAGAACTGGATGGGTGAGGGACACAGAAACAGGTGGGTGAAGGGCCCGGAGGTGGATGGGTGA